TTCCGGTCCGGTCTGGTCCGGTCCAACCAACGGGCCCGGTCCGGTCCAACCGGCCGGTGGCTGGTGCAGCCCTGGTCTAAGGGCGCCAGGCTCGACGTCGGCCTAGACCGCATCACGTAAAGGTCGGACCCCAAATGCGTGGATTCAGGGGCCCTGCGCCAGACAGTTGACTAAAGTCAAACTGTATACGGCCACCGTGGACCCAGCCCGGGCCGCCGGTCAGACACACACACTTGTTTGTATGCAGGTACCGAGACAGCAATCGGGCCAAGTGGAAGTCTGCAACTGTACGGGATCCAGGCCGTCAGTTGTGAGTCAATCTGAGCCACCGTGGGTGGGAGATCTGAGGCAGGTCTACCTCGTCAAACGCTACATAAGACCCTGCCTCCAGGGAGTCAACATTCGGTCTTGGTATGCTGACTTGACGCTGGCTAGATGCTGGCTTGACACTGGCTGGACGCTGGCTGTACGCTGGCACTGTGGACGAGGACTCGAGACTGCTGCTTGCAGCTCACGCCTGCCTGACTTGGCACCAGCCTCTGTTGACGTGGTGCAGGCTACGTTGTTTCCGACATTGCTGACTTGGCGTATGCCACCCTGTCTCTATTGCTGACGTGGCATCTGCCACACTGTCTTCATTGTTGAGTTGGACGCGACAAGGAGGGAGATCGGGATCTGTGGACGATTGAGAGAGAGAGAGAGAGCGAGGATACTTACCTGTTGTTGATGCCGATACTGTACGCTGCTGAACGTCTTCACGGGAGAACTGTGCCACGTGGCACTTTGATGTGATCAGGCCTTGTCAAGCTCGTTATTGGACACTGTTTGCTGACGTGGAGGCAGGGGGGAAGCCGGAAGAAGGGGAGGGGACTGTTGGACTACTATCTTTGTGGTCATTGATGGATGACTCGTCCACCCCCTCTAATCTGTCTATTCCCCCACTCCTCTCTTCGTCCATTGGCTACGAGACATTGTATTACAGATCACATTCACGATTATTGGAGACATTATTCAGCGATGAGATTTCTTGTACTTCGACACTTGACGAGTATCTTCAAGACTGGATTCATTACACAAGGCTCCTCACCATGTATATCTCCATTCAATTGGATTTGTTACAGTGCTTTCTCTTTGAGCGTGAAGGGGGGGCGAGGTGGGGAGTAGGTTTTCTTTTTCTTTCTTTTTTTTGAGAGATTCCAACTCTCCCAGGTGTATCCCATGTGGGGAGTGTTTTTTTTTTCTTTCTTTTATTTTACACAAACTCATCCTTGGGGCTTACCACAGAGGGAGTGGGGTATTATTCTGTGCGAGAGAGCAGAAAGCCTGAGTCCACCACACTGCAGGCTTGCACTGCAGCTGTGCGATCAGTTTCTCGCAGGCGGCAGGTGGCCAACCCTGTCTTGTGGAAGACAACTGCCTGGCAAGAAAAGAAAACCTTGATTGGAGAAAATTGGCTGCAACATCACATGCGCTGGTCCAGGAGGAGACGTGAGCGCGAAAAAGGGTGAGAGATTGAGAGAATCACTGTCTGCGCTGATCCAGCGACCGGAGCGGAGATCCCATTGCCCAGGTTCTTCATTTGTGGACATTGGTCTTCGTAATCAACCACCGAAAATGGAGAATCAGCCCTGGTCCACAGAGATTCCAAGTCTTTTTTTCATCCATGAAAATGCACAGTACCACACGTAGGGTCGGCCGTGGCGCACTAGCCAGTGATAGGGCGTGAGGAGAAAGCAGAAGAGACATCACTTGTTAACGTGTCTTGAGACCGGGTTCAATCTACTAGGGAGGGTGATATGAGCAGCCCGTCCTTGTCTTGAGTTCTTTAATAATACATAAGTGATGATTGTACAGTTGCTGTTCGATATTCGAGTTGTCTTCATTTGAGCAGCAGTGCGAGTATTGTCGATGACTGCTTGTCTGTGGTTCGTGTCTTTGCTTTTCATTGCTGCAGCAGCACAGTATACGGTGACGGGGAGCGTGCAGAAAGCAGAGGAGGCAATTATAGAGATAATGCAAGCGAATACAGTGTCTCTATAATAGAAAATGCATGCACAAAGCCCATCATTATGAAAGCATGCCAGCGTACGGTACACATGTCGCTGGCCGACCACTGCAGCTCATAAGGAGGTGTGTACGGCTTCACCATGGACACAATTTATGTCTATTCAGAACGGAATGAAGTCTACTTAAACCAGTGCTGGTCCCCGGATGGACCGGGGGACCTTCGACCGACCGGGAGCCTATGGGTCCGACCGGGTGGTTCACTGGCCCGGCAGGCCCCCGGTTCATTTGGGCATACTCAGTTTTTTTGGGTGGGGGTAGGGGGGATTTTCGGGCGTCCCCGTCCCCGCCCAGCCTCTGAGAGGCCGTCGCCACCAGTGGAGAAGAAAACCGGGACCTACTGGACCCCATTTTCTTTTGAAAACGCGTGGCCAATCTCCGCCGCCGATAGGCGAGATCGAGCGGTGGAGATCGGCCGCACGTTCTCAAAAGAAAACAGGGTCCGGTAGGCCCCCGTTTTCAAATTTGAAAACGCGGTCGATGTCACCGCAGATCCGCGGATCTGCAGCCGAAATCGGCCGCGTTTTGAAATCTTAGTTGCGACGTGGTTTTACGTTGCCCCCGCCCCTCCGGCCCGCCTGCCCCACGCTTCAGCACCAGCACACGATATTGACATCGCGCCATTCAGCATGCACGTCGACGTCGTGTGCTGCGACCATGCGACCAGTGCCAGCGCCCCCGTCTCCAGCCTGCCATCGACCTGTCTCTGCAGCTGCTTTGCCCCCGCCAGCCCGTGTCATTGCAACCGCCCCCCATAGCCACAAAGGTAACTCTGCCAGCGCCCCTCCTCCTCCTCCTCCTCTGATTCCCTCCAAATTAAGCCAGAGCCAGAGCCATAGCGATTTTTTTTAAATTTTTCCCATCTTTCGTATCAGATGCTCCTTCTTCTTCTTCTTCTCCTCGTTCTCCTCCTCCTCTTCTTCTTCTTCTTCTTCTTCTTCTTCTTCTTCTTGTTCTTCTTCTTCTTGTTCTTGTTCTTCTTCTTCTTCTTCTTCTTCTTCTTCTTCTTTACCCTTTTCTTTTTTTCATTCTTCCACCTCATACTGTCGTCTACCTCGTCTTCCATCAGGTACGTATGCTGCTGCTTACGGGCCTGCACACCCATGCAACGCACCCTGCACCATAAAAACCCGTGCCCCCGCCTAGGTAACCTTCTGGCATTGAAAACAGGATAAGTTACCTCTTGAGGTCAGTTCAGAAAGAGATCCCAAAAAAAAAGGAAAAAAAAAAAGAAAAAAAAGAGAGAGAGAGAGGGAGGAGGAAACTGTGGTTGTGGCACACTTTTAGTTTGAAATGGGCAAGACAAGTCAAAGTGGCGCCAATGAGGCAAAAGTTGTTCAGTTTGGAGATGGGTTTTAGGGGGGGGATTCAAACGAAGCGGGAAGCCGGCGCCGTAGCGCTCTGCTCCCGTGACGCGGGGGGCACAGTGTTAGGGTTTAGCCATAGCCGATCGGCGGTGCCGCGTGCATAGCTGCGCGGAGCTTAACAACCATTCCCCGGAGTGCGCAGCACGGGGAAGGGGGGTCTTGGAGCAGTCGAGCTACACATGGTAGCTCGAGCAACAGAGACACGAGCTTGTCTAAGTTCGAACGCTGTCAAGAGGGGAAAGGTTCATCTTGAAAGGGCGCACGCACATACGCGAGAGAGAGAGAGAGAGAGAGAGAGAGAGAGAGAGAGAGAGAGAGAGAGAGAGAGAGAGAGAGAGAGAGAGAGAGAGAGAGAGAGAGAGAG